AGATCAGCTCCTGCACGCACACGCACACACACACACCTTGCTCTCATATATTCCTTGTTCAAAGATGGTCAGTGCCTTAGCTTTACTCTGCCAGAGGCCAGCTCCTGTGATGAATCCCAAACACATCTTGGCCGAAAACCGAAGAAGAAAAAGAGACAAACCCTTCGACACTGACAGCGTTTGTTCCTGGAGTTCTGATTTTCAAGAATGAAAGTCCAGAGGGTCCCACGGGTCTGCATAGGAGCGGCTTTAGATAACCAACAAGCGAGAAAGACAATACTGAATGAAGCCTTGTTCTCCAAATCTTTTCCCAGATGCAGCAACGAAATTGAGTCCCGTCAGTGCTACAGTGCACACTTTGTCTCATAGAGACACAGAGGATGTAATAATGCCCAGATTTATCCCTCTGTGGGAGCCAGATAGTAAATATGTTATTGCTTACCACAGGTCCCTGACTCACTGTCTTGGGACTGGGATTGAGTGCACGTGAAAAGTTAGGAAAAGAGGGAAGGGGGATGTAGCCCTAATACAAGCTGTCAAGTGTCCGACGCCTGGTCGTAATTACAACATACAAACATTTGTAAACTCCAGTGTTTTCAATTTGGCTTCACAAACTGCAAAAGTGTGCAAAGATTAGCAGAAATTCATAATTCATGAATAATCCAAGTACACAACAGTGAAAGCTATATAAATGAAACCTGTATTATTGTTCCTCCCTATCTTTAAAGTAGTCTGGCAGTCACTGCAATAATACATTCTTGAAAATGTCCAAATTCAATTTAAGTGTAATAAATAATATTTTTAGGACAAAATGCCAAAGAAGGTTGATTAAACAAAAAAATGGTTATGGTGCAAAGAATTTTGAATTGTGTTGTTTGGTTGCTGTTCTGGCTGAAAATTTTCAGTCATAGCACAGGGTATCTCCCCCACCTTCTCTGGGGTGCAAAACAAATCTCATGTTTAAGCATGCAAATAGCTACAAGCTGTATCAACAGGTTATTGTTCTGTTTACCGATTTGTATGAAGGAATGTCTATAAACAGTAAAGGGATAGGAAAAAGGAAAAAAGGGCCTTCTCCCTCAGGAAACAAATCAGAGATTGATTTTAAGCCGCTAACACCTATAGAGGGTTAGGATCTATAAGATCAGAGACATGGAACAAAAGGAGGAGAAGAAAGTATGAGGACGTGGACAGAAACCAACAAGGTGTTAAAAGGCAGCCGCACAGATGCTGACAGCTGCGGCGTAGAAGGTAGATGACTGCAGCTGCAGATAAAACACAAAGAGAATGTGTTTTTCTACGTGTGAGTATATGTGAGTCCATAGAGGGAGAAGGGGGTGGATGAGGGAGATGAAAAGAAAAGGCGCTCCCAGAATGCAGGAGGTGGAAGCACCAACCGAGAGGAGGGTTTTAATTGGCTGCCTGGAGACAAACGCTTCAGGCGGAGGAATTAGTATGCATGAGATCTGCAGACAGAGGGAGAAAGAGTATGGAGGGAGAGATCACAGTAACATCACAATGAGTTTAGGAAATTGTTCTCCTCACTTTCACTGTCCCACTTGCCCCTACAGAAACCTCAAATTCACCAAACTTGACGTGTAGCTTAGTAATTTATGTTCAACATCAGGCCCTTGGATCTAGATGAAGTCTTTAGTCGCAGCTACCTGTCTTCTCAGTGGGTTTTCATTGGTTTCTATCAAAAAGCTAAGCACCTCTCGCTTTCCCTTTTGTGTTTCAGAGTATCCCTGCTCGGGCATGCTGGGCATGGTGTCAGGCTTGATCACCGACAACCAGATCACAGCGTCCTCCCACACAGACCGGAGCTGGGTACCAGAGAACGCTCGCCTGCTGACGAGCCGGACGGGGTGGACTCTGCTGCCCCAGCCCCAGCCCTTCACTAATGAATGGCTGCAGGTGGATCTCGGCGAGGAGAAGCTCGTGAAGGGGTTTATCATCCAGGGGGGGAAGCACCGTGAGAACAAAGTCTTCATGAAGAAGTTCCGTCTCGGCTACAGCAATAACGGCTCAGAGTGGAGGATGGTGTTGGACACCAACGGGAATAAGCCGAAGGTAAGGGTCTTTTCTTTGCTTGTCGTTTTAACTACAGCAAACTTGTAAAATACTGAAGTGTGTCCAAAACAACCCACAAAGAGTTCTTTGTGTGTACGCAGTGGTTCTTTAATGGGAATGGGTTGGGATTGATGGTTTGATAAGATATCACTTTACCTTCTGGCTGTAGGAAAATGGTTTGAATACATACGTCTAAAACTGGCTCTCGGAAACATCAGAACATCAATTCCGATTTTGATGCATGTAGTCAATTTTCAGTAGAGCGTTGAGCCTGGCAGTTGTGACTCATTCAGCAGTCGTTCTGAGTCAATTTCAGCAGCGCTTTGAATCACATTAGGATAAGCATCTCATGTCTCGCAGAGTCCTTTCCTAGTTCTCTCCTCCTGCTTTGTATTCTGTGCGACTCACACACCGTTCAACCCTTTCAGTGGATAGTGAAACCTCTCCAGGATGGGGGGGGGGTGAAGAAAGTGAAGGGAAAAGACGAAAGGAAAGATGAGAGCGAGGAGGGAAAGAGTGTGCAACATGGAGAATTGATCCAAGATTTATCTGCGGGTGACACTGAATGCTCGGAGGACACATGCCAACACTTTGCACACAGAAACTGTATATACGAGCACATACACAGAAACATGCGCACAACCCCAAGAAGAGCTACAACAGCCTGTCCCCAATTACAAGCGTCCCTGACAGGGCATAAATCTGATCCAGATGGGCTGATTGTTGATTTATGAAGGGAGTCAAGGGGATCCATATCCCCCTGTCCTAGTTAGCCGCCTCTCTCCCCTCGCCTGAGAGGTTCCCAGCATCTGAGGCACACCAGGCCCCTTCACGTGATCACACCCATTAATCCACTTCCATCAATCCTCTAGCTCCTCCTTTGCTTTCTTCTCTCACACCCCACATTCTCCTCTTTTAGACTAATTTATTCCCCCGCTCGCATAGGATCTGAGGCAGAGTTGAAGAAACTGAAATTCGCCTTTGACAGAAGTGTGGGCCACGCTGTCTCTGCCAATGGCCCCCTGCGTGAGTCGCCTAAGCTGCGCTTTAGATGTCAGCAAGATGAGAGCGATCTGGTCATCCTCTGTTCTTTCACATATTTCCAACAACAGATTACATGCCACCCATCCACCCATAGCTTTCAGAAGGCAGGAATAAAGCTGACTCGGGGCACCTGCATTTAGAAAGCTGTATCGATCAAATACCCAGCATTGATGCTATCAAACAAATTACTCTTAATGTCTTTTTTTTGTTTTTCACCCTTTCCTCTCTGTCTTTGTCCTTCCACCTCCAGATATTTGAAGGGAATAGTAACTACGACACTCCTGAGCTGAGGACAGTGGAGTCCCTGCTGACGCGTTACATTAGAATATACCCAGAGAGGGCCACTCCTGCTGGCATGGGCTTGCGACTCGAGCTCCTGGGCTGTGAGATTGAAGGTAAGCTGGAACTCCAGCGAGGATATTTTCCTTAATCTGTTGCATTCTGTATTTTCTATGCAAATTAAATGTCGAACTGATTTCTCGTGATGCAGAAATTATGTTTCTACCAATGGTGGCAAAATAAGCATTGAAAGTAAAACCTCTTTCCCCCATTCTGCTGACTTTTCCAATCGGTGAAGATGCTTTTAAGAACATCCATCCAACCGTTATCTATAATGCTATCCTTTGAGGGTCGCGGGGGTTCTGGAGCCAATCCCGGCTGACATTGAGCTAGAGGCGGGGTACATCCCGGCGTATCAGAGGGACGACATATAGAGACAAAGAACCATTCACTCTCCCATTAATACCTATGGATAATTTAGAGTCTCCAATCAACCTAATCCCCAATCCGCATGTCTTTTGACTGTGCAAGGAAGCCAGAGAAAACCCTTATAGACAAGGGGACATTATGTAAACCCCAGCTGCACTGGGATTTGAACCAGGATCTGTCTTGTTTGTTAAAAACAAAAATCACATTTTCAGTTTTGGTGTTGACATTACTAGTGTTGGTCATTACGTTTTTACATTTTTGATAATAACTCAGTACATCAATTCACACACAACGTGTATGTTCACATGTCATGACACACATACAGGTGAACCATAAATCATCCTGGTTTAACGACATGGCTGTAAGTCGCCTGCGCTTCATGTCTTTGCCACAGTTCAGGTTATTTAAAGATGTGGAGCCCACAGCTGTCCAGCTCCTGCTCTTTATCTTTGCAGGGGACACTTGTCTTGTCTCTCCGTTACATCAAAGCTGCCCATATAGCTCGCCACTTCCAGAGGGGATCAAATGAAAGCCCACCTCACCCAGTAGGATTATTTCAGCCTGGCCCCCATCGCACTCTTCCCAACCCGTACATGTCTTTCTTCTTTCAAAGGGCCGCACACACTTTGCTATCTTTAAAATGACCCCTATTCCCCCCCCCCAACTCTTTATCTGTCTCTCTCAAAGCTGATGTAGCGCACAAACAGCTCAGAGATGCAGAGCGCACTATAGCCCTAAGTGGATTTACATATTGGATTTCAGGGAGGCCCGTTCCGTCGTAAGCCTCATGGACTCCCACAGGGAGCTTTAGTCAGATGATAATGCTTGTTTTCAGTGTTAATACCAAACACACACATACTCACACAGACATATACACAGAGAGCAACCGCAATCACCTTACTCACACAGACATATACACAGAGAGCAACCGCAATCACCTTACTCACACAGACATATACACAGAGAGCAACCGCAATCACCTTGCCAAACATGTGGTTACAGGCATGTATACACACACACACAGGTGCTTTCACTAGTGTGTAGAAGTGTGTGTCTGTGTGTGTGTGTGTGTGCAAGAAGTCATAGTAAAAGGGCTAAATCCTCATTTCTGTGAGAGGCTCCCCCGACGCAACGCTGACCCCATCCCTGACCTTCCCCACCCTGACTCTGACAGGGGCTGATCTGCACCATATTTCATCTTGCAAAGGGAGTGAGCATGACTACCCCCTTGCACACATGCACACACACACTCACAATCTCACACACAGAGATACTGTAAAAATACATTTATCTATCTGTGCCTTTCTCTCTATTCCACCTCTTTCCTCCCTCTGCACTGGGGCAGCCCATGTGTTACTCAGTCAGTGTAAACACACACAAATACACGCACACCACAGGACGGCTGTGCGGCAGCGGCGTGTGGCATGCATCTAGGGCCATGGCCACATCCAAGTGTAACATAGCCATAATGATAGGCCACTATGGCAACCAGGGGCCCTGCCTATAGCCAATCATGAGCCTTGTTTCTACATCATTCAGTTCCAGCCGCCCAAGCCTAAAGCACCAAGCCATCTCCTCAGCTCTATTTATACACCCACATCTCCACAACCTGATAAAATGAGGGATGCTAATAGCTTAGGCCTACATTAAAAACAGTGTGTAACTGTGAGCAGAGCCTGCTGAGCCTATTTATACACATTTCTTTTTTTGTATTTTCAACTTGAGTCCAACTCAGCCTTTCAGACTGAATCTTCGCCCCATGCTAACAACAAAAACTCATTGTTTTTGGCATCGATCGCATTTTTAGTGTTTGTTTATTTGTTTATTCACTTAGATTTTCTGATGACATCCTGTTCATGTACAGATCATGTCTGAATACTTATAAGACTATACATCTGCCAAATCAATGCACTGACAGTGTTTTCCATCTAAATCTCAGTGCGCTACTTATGGTAAGAACATGATCAGACAGTACAAAACAGTAGGTGCTTGTTCAGCTCGTCCCCTCCAGCCTCTTCATTTGTGTGTTTGTGTTTAACTTGAAATCTAATCTACGCTCTCCGCTCTCCCTTCACCCTCACAGCCCCCACGCTGCCGCCGACCACGATCGTCCTGAGCACGACTCCGTCGGACGAGTGCGACGACGACCAGGCGAGCTGCCACAGCGGCACAGGTGATGACTACGACGTGACAGGTGCTAACATCGCCCTCATGAGACTGCAACCACCCCCCCCCCCACTCCCAGCTCCTCCTTCTGTTATGGCGCACACTTGATCTGCTTGCTGCGATTAAACACCACCACCACTCCCCCAGCTTCACTGCTCTCTGACACAGATTTGATACTACCACAGCTAAGCTGCGATACTGAGCACATTCACACATGCATGCACGCATGAGCACCTGG